CCTTAGCTGGTGTCAATGGAAATAGAAAAGCGACTCTCTTCCTACAACACTGCCACCACCAGCCCTAATCCTGTCCCTTTCTAACCCCTTACCCTGCTTTACTTCCTTTTCACAGCAATTGTCACCACTTGGAATTACAGTAATCTTTCTTGTCCATCTCCCTGCTGGAGTGTAAACTCTAGAGAGGAGGGACTAGCTTGCCTTAATCCCCCACTGTATCCTCAGCTCCTGACACACAGGAGGTACTGAGTAAGTGTTTGATGAATTCATGGTGTCTCTAGCACCTATGCTGGGCCTTGCTGAGGTTTCAGAGAAGTCCTGGGGAGTCTCCCTGCCCCAGTGGGGGCTTCCTGCTTGTTCACTAAAAATCCCAGCAAAGCTGGTACTGTCTCTCCTGGGGGAGGGAGGATACTCATTTCTCCAGACCAGAAAAGCCAGCAAGGGGTCAAGGCAATTTAAAGGAGAGAGAATAATCTTTCAACACATAGTGCTGAGGCAACTGGATATCCACATGCAAAAGAATGAATTTGGATCCCTATCTCACATCATACACAAATGTTAACTCCAAATAGATGGGTTAATCATAGACTAAAAGTAAAGAGCTGAAGCTATAAAAGTTCTTAGAGGAAAATATAGAAGTAAATCTCACAGCACAGCCTTCTTAGATATGAGGCCAAAGCACAAGCAGCCAAAAACAAACAAACAAACAAAAAACACAATAAATTGGATGCCACAAAAATTAAAAATGTGTGTGCTTCAAAGGACACCATTAAGAAAATACTATGAGTAAAAAGAAAACTCATAGAATGGGAGAAGTTACTTTCAAATCATGCATTTGATAAGGGACTTATATCTAGAATATATAAATAACTCTTACAACTCAATAATAAAAGTACAAATAACCCAGTTGAAAAAATAGGGAAATTATATAAATAGACATTTCTCAGCAAATGACTAATAAGCACATAAAAGATGTTTAACATCATTTTATCAGGGAAATGCAAATCAAAACCACAATAATGTATTATTTCATACCCAGCAGGAAGGCTATAATAAGAAAGACAAATAATTACAAGTGTTTTTGAGGATGTAGAAAGATCAGAACCTTCATCCATTGCTGATGTGAATGTAAAATGGTGCCATTCTTTGGAAAAGTAATCTGGCATTTCTTTACAAGGTTAACTATAGAGTCATGGTATCACCCACCAATTCCACACTTCAATATATACCCAAGATAAAATATGCAACCACACAAAAATGTGTGCATGAATGCTTATAGCAGCATCATTCATACTCGCCAAAAAGGGGGAACAACCCAAATATCTATTGATGGATGAATGGATAAACAATGTGGTATATCCATATGATGGAATAGTATTTGGCAATAAAAAGGAATGAAGTGCCGATACATGCTACAACATGGGTGAACCTTGAAAACATTATGCCAAGTGAAAGAAGCCAGTCACAAAAGACCAATATTATATTATTCGATTTATAGGAAATGTCCAGAAGAAGCAAATCTGTAGAACAGAAAGTAGACTGGTAGCTGCCTAGGGCTGGGGGGGAGTAGGGACATGAGGGATGATAACTAATAAGTAAAGAGTTTCTCTTTGGGGTGCTGGAAATATTCGAGCATTGATGGGGTGATGGTTGCACAACTCTGTGAATTACAAAAGAAAATCATTGAGTTGTAGACTTTAAGTGGATGGAGTATATGGTATGTGCATGATATCTCAACTCAGGTTCCCTTGAGGTCAGTGGGGTCCGGGAGACTGTGGGGAACTGTATGACATGCCTGGAACTCAAGTCCTTCCTCTGACTGATGTGGCATCCTGTGGTTTTCCCACACCCCAGAACCTGGGCTCAGAGATGCCTTAAACTGTCCCAGCATGCAGACCCGACTCCACCAATGTTTAGGCAGCCATCTTGAAGTGATTGGAGGCTATCAGGGAAGGAGGAGCTCACATGTGCTGAGCGCCTACTCTGCCATGTGATTTGTGCAGGACTGGGACTAGAGGGAGGACTTTCAGGACCCCCGAGACTGAGTGACTTCTTAAATTTTTCACCCAAGGTACATTACTCTAGTCCCATCCCTGGCTGTGTTCCATATTCCCAGCACCTTAGTTCATCATTGTGGTACATCAGGCCACGTGCTGTGGCTCATGCCTGTAATCCCAGCACTTTGAGAGGTCAAGTTGGGTGGATTATTTGAAGCCAGGAGTTCAAGACCAGCCTGGCCAACATGATGAAACTCTGTCTCTACTAAAAATACAAAAATCAGCTGAGTGTGGTGGAGGGCGCCTGTAATCCCAGATACTTGGAAGGCTGAGACAGGAAAATCCCTTGAACACGGGAGACAGAGGTTGCAGTGAGCCAGGATCATACCACTGCACTCCAGCCTGGGTGACAGAGTGAGCAAGATTCCATTTAAAAAAAAAAAATGACATCCCTGTGAAGCCCACATGAGTACGTTACAGTTGCGGGTTTAGAGACTCAAACAGAGCAAGTCTTGCTGGCTCCAGAGCCTGTTTTCTTTCCAGCCCTTTATCCATGATGCTGATGGAAGAACCCCTGGGGAAGCCTCTTGCAACCAGGGAAAGCTTGGCAAGCCTGCCAGCAGCTCCCCACCTCCCAAGAACAAGTGTTTTGGAGGTCTCTGTCTGGATAGCTTTGAGTCTGTGTGGAGGGTGGGAATCCCAAGACCTCCTAAACATCACTAGGGAGCAGAAAACCTTCTCTTGAAGAACCACATTGGCCACTAGACCCCAACAGGATCAATAACTGTGGCCAGCAAGTCAAGTGGGACGTGGGCTGGAGCTCACAACCCTCATTCTCAAATGCTTATTTCGTCCACCAAACATGCCGAGTACCTACTAAGTGCCAGGTCCTGGGTATGCAACTGCAAACACAACATTCCAGTGGGAGAGAGAGAAACACAAAAAAGCGACCAGAAAATATTAACCCATGAACAATCCAATGATGAAAATAAAACAGCCATGGACAGAGGGGGATGAGGGCCGGCACGAAGGCAGACTTAGAGGAGGCTCAGGAGAGGTGGACGCAGGGAGGGAGAAGGTAAGGTAGCCTGCTCTGTGGGGTGGAAGCCTCCGGTGACACTGAGTTTTCTCAATGTGTTTTCACGGGTTCATTGGAAACTTCTAAGTGCCCACATAGTCTCCCCCATGCTGAAAAGACCTTGGAAAGAGGCTGTGGCTAAGCTGGAGCTGATAGGAGGTGAGCCTCTCACCTCTGGGACCAGCCAGGATGCAGGCAGGGACCCAAGCTAGAGATTCGGGAGAGGATACTCATGGGAAAACCTGGGGCCAGCTGGAGCTGCTCAGCCACCCTCTTTTCCTTTAAGAGATGTTTTGTTTTGTTTTGTTTTGTTTTGTTTTGTTTTGTTTTGTTTTGTTTAACAGACAGGGTCTCCTTCTGTTGCCCAGGCTGGAGTGCAGTGGTGCAATCATAGCTCACTGCAGCCTCCCTCTCCTGGGCTCAAGTGATCCTCCTGCCTCAGTCTCCCAAGTAGCTGGGGCCACAGCTGAGCACCACCATGCCCCAGCCCCCTCTCTCTCTCTCTCTCCCCCCCCCCCCGTCTCCCTCTCTATGTATACATATATGTATATATGTATATATATATGTATGTGCGTGTGTATGTGTGTGTGTATGTATATACACATATATATATAATTTTTTTTTTTTTTTTTGTAGAGATGGGATCTATGTTGCCCCAACTCTTCTTTTTCTAACACCTGTGCTCAGGCCTGGGAGGCTTCTCTGTCTTGTTCGGGCAAAGAAGGCTGGTCCAGGGTTCCCTCCTTAGTCTCTGCCAGCCTAACTTGCATACCCAGGTGAGAGAGCCTCAGGAGGGCAGAGCCGGGCCCCAAGACCTTCAAACCATTCCCGAGGCCTCCTGGCTCTCCCTCTCCCTCTCCCCAGAAGCTTAAGCGTCCTACACCTAAGTAGGGCCACCAAGCTCCACCCATCTGCAGGGCTCTAGAAGAGAGGTGTTCATGAGCCCCTGGACTCTGGATCAATCCTTCACTCTCCTTCACTCCTGCAAAGTGGGGTCCATGTGCCCATCCTACAGATGCAGATATGCAGGCCCAGGCAAAGTCCAGGGCCCTTCCTGGAGTCAGCAGAGGAATCGGGTCTGGGCCCACCAGGACTGCGGTTGTTCTCCCTCCTTTCGATGTTGCCAAGAACAGGGAGTACCCTGCCGTGAGGAGCGCTGGTCTCACCTATGATCCCAAAGAGCCTGGTCCAGGCAGCGGAAATCCAGAGGGTGCGGCCTTCCGCCAAGTCTGGGCCCTCTCCAGCCTCAGTCTCTGGTCCGCAACCGGAGTGAGGTGGGCCCAGAGCTCTGAGCACCTTCTCACGGGCTCCGAGGCCCCCGCCTTCTCCTCACATTTGCTCTCGGGTTGGTGCCCGGCAGGCCCCGCCCAACCTCTTTCACTTACTTGGGCAAGGGCAGCCGCCGCGCCGGGCTCTGCCCTGTGTGGCCGTCGGATTAATATCCAGATATTAAGTAAACAATAAATTAGCAAAACTACAAGAAAATTTTACAGCCCTTTGCATTTGGCAATCATTGAGTGTTAATTAGAAATTCATTACAATTAAAACCCTGCCTAAACAGGGCCTGCGCGCCTTAATTACATCTGATTTTTAATTCAGAATACGTGTTTACACAGTAAGCGCTACGTACCCCGTGATTATCCCCAATCCTCTTTATACTGTACTAATTATGTAAATTAAACCTAATTAACTGACGAAAACTGCCGTTAATTCAACTAGTAAAAGATATGTGCTTGCGGAGGAAGCGCGTCCGCCCAGCCCCAGCCCAAGCCGGAGCCCAAATGGACGCCACACCCGGGACACGGAGGCAGCGCGGACCCCGCCAGTAGGAGGAGAAGTGCACAAGGCACAGCTCGCATCCAGAGTCCGGTTCTTCGACCCCTGGTGCCACCCGGCAGCGGATAAAAGAGAGAGAATCTTCAATAATGGGGGTCAGGAAGGCCAAGGGCAGCGACGACTGCGGGCTCTGGACAAGGCCGCAGGACCCAGAGCCCACTGAGGAAGAGGGGTCCCTCCCATCCCGTCGGAGCCTGGGTTGCGGTCCCAGCTCTGCCACTCACTGCCTGCCTGAACCTGAGCAAGTGCCCTGGCTGTGCCAGGCCTTCCTCCTCTGCATCGTGTAGTGAGGGCGATACTGAAACGCAGCGCTGCGCCCTCCTTACCGTCCCTCCTTCAAGCTAGGCCCTTTCTGCAGCATGCCAGGCACCACTTTTTGAGTCTAGAGATCAGCCTGCGTCCCTTATGGGCTGAGGGCCTTGGTTGAGGAGAAGGTCAGGGGTTGGCTTCTACTGCCGGATCCTCAGTTTCCTCCTGTAAAATGGGAATAAGTGGTTCCAATCTATTCCCAGGGCCCCTGTAAGAACCGGCTCTTCAATCAGTAAAGTGTGGTCCGCGGTGATATTAACCCGCCGGACGCCGGCCCATCGTAGAGCCCCAGCTCCTACCCCCAACGACCTGCTCCCCGGTGCCCAGCCCTGAACAGCGGGGCTTCCCCAGCCTCTGTCCACGAGCCTTCAGTCTTTCTCCAACTTAGATCAGGGACAGGAGCTGGGTGGGTCTCCTGGCATTGGCCAGAGAGCGGGGAGCTGTCCGTAGCTTGGTGCTGAACGGGGACGCAGAGTCGACGCTGCACGCCCCCTGGTGCGGGGCGGTACCCTTTGTCTAAGAGGTCCCGGGGGCCCCCGCGGCCGGGCTGTTGGAAACGGAGGCGTCTTTGGCCCTCGGTGTACAACAGAGGCAGGACAGGCAGGCCCTGCTCAGGGGGACCCAGCCCATCCTCTGTTCACTCCCACCCCCCAACACCCTGGGGGCGTCCTGGCTCCAGGATCCTTGTCGCGACCACGCCGAATTCTGAGATGCCTTTTAAAAAATCATTAGGAGGCTAAGAATAATTACCGAACGGGATTGTAATTATGGGGTGGGGGAGCCTGGGCCGAGGGAGGGAGAATGAGCTGGCGGGGACTTAGGGGCAGCTCACGGACTGGGACGGAAAATAGGTTCCTATGTTCTCCCTAGGGAAGGTGTGGGAGGAAAGACAGCGGGGAGTTGGAGCGGGACAGAGGCACAGCCTGGGAAAGACGCCCGAATGGAGGGGCCAGAGGCAGAAAGAAAGGGGCTGAGCAGGTTCCAGGGCTGCTCTGGGAGAAAAGGGAAAAGCAGGGAGATGAGAGACAGAAAGACTGGAACTGAGGAGGGGGAAGAGGACAAGAACCCGATCTAAAAGAGATCCTCAGAGGAGACAGAGCCCACAAATTTGGGAGAGGTTTTCGGGGCCTAGGAGAACGGTACCCTACGTCAGCCAGCGTAGCCGGGAAGAAGGCAAAGGAGTCCGTGGGCTGGGCCTGCCCCCTCCTCAGTCCCTGCTCCAGGCCTCAGCGATCGGTTCGCGCTTCCAGAGCCCCTTCCCAGGGTCTCTGAGAGCCAGGAGGGAAAAGAAGAGAGGGGAGAAGTGGAGGAAAAGGAGAGACACGCCCCAGAGGAGTTGGGACGCAGGAGAGAAGGGGGCCCATACCCGGTAGCCCGAGGGAAAAACGAGGCGAGGGGGGCGAGGGCGACCCCGCGCCGCTACCCGCGAAAGATTTATGGCGCCTTCCAGGTTCCAAGGACAGGCTGCGTTTGTCGCTAGTGCCACTGCCGGTAGTCGCCGTGGCCGCTGCGCCCCCTGCCCAGGCGGCCTGCCGAGCCCCAGGCCATCCCTGCCTTTATTAACTTCTGTTTGATTAGGGTAATTGTTCAAACTTAGGCCGGACAGTATGATTAATTACAGTTTAATTAACGTATCCATTAAGGACACTTAATGCCAGGGGGGCAGGGAGGGGGTGGTGGAAGCGGCCGACGGGGCGCCCGGGTGCGGGCAAAGAGGGGCGGGGTGCGACTGGTAACTCAAACGAAGTAGAGACAGATTGAGAGAGGAAGAGAAGGGGACCCAATGGGGCGTTAGGGGAAAGAATGGTGAAGACGGACAGACCGATTGAGAGAGACAGGAGAGGGGTGGAGAGAAACGGAGCTTTGAGCAGAGAGAGGGGGTACCCAGGGGCGTCCGTAGCATCAGAGGACTGGACCTACCCCATGGGGAAACTGGGTTAGCAGCGCTGAGAGAGTAGTTGACCTCAGATCACTCCCAGCGATGACTTGGCTCCTGCCCTGGGCCTGCTGGTGACGGCGAGGGGAGGCATTCAAGGCCAAGGGCTCCCCAAACCTAGTTCCCAAGTCGCCTGCCCAGGGACGGAAACAGGAGAACGCCCCTCCTCAGGTTAGAGCTCTCCTGATACCTCCCACCGAAGTCAGGAGCATGGGGGAGGCAGATCTGCTCCTTCCCGGCTGCCATCCTCGCTGCCTGGCACCCAGGTCCCTGTCCCGGACTCTGGTGACCCTACTGGTTCCCCAGGGCCACTGTAGGCTCCACCACCCCGGCCCTTGCCTGCAGCCGGAAAGTGAAGTACTCCTCCCTGCGCCCGTTCCTCTTGAGTCCCCCTTAGCCCCATCACCCGGTCCTGGTCCAGACCAAAACTGGCTCGTTGGCCAGGAGCACTGGGCCTTCCCCACTTCATTCTTGGGGACAAACTTTTTGGCCCCGGGGCCTTTCCTCCTTCTTGGCCTCTTCAGCTAGAGCGGGACGCAGGTGCAGGGCGCTGGACGCAGGTGTGCGGTCGCTTACCTGGGGAGTGCAGGCCCTGGGGCTGCGGGGAGGCGGCGGGCGCCGCGCGTGGCCCGCGGGCGGGCGGACCCGGGGAGGTCGCTAGCGACTGCGCGGGCGGTGGGTGTGGCGCCTCTGCTCGCAGCTGTCAGACGCGCCTGCCCCGCCACTCGGGCTGTGGCCGCGCTGTCCCCGCCGCCGCGCCATGCGCTCCAGGCTTCGGCCTCTAATTCCGGCCAGTCCCCGGCCTCGGGGTCAACAGCTCAGGGTTCGCATCTCCGAGCCCGGGGCCCCGGCGCCCCGCGCCCGCTGAGAGCGGGAGGGGCCGCGGGTGGGAGCGCGGAGAACCAGGGAGCGCGGCTGTGCGCGCGCGCGGGGAGGGGCCGCGCCGTCACCCGGAGAGCCCGGTGGATCCCGGACTCCCGCCTGCCGCTCCTCCCGCCGCGCACCTCCGCGCACCGCTCGCCCGGCTCCAGCCGCCGCCGCACTGTGAGTACCCACGTCCGATAGCCGGTCGCCCCGGTGCTCTGCCCCTGCAGCTTTTTTTTTCGTTTAGTTCTGATTTGGGCTCCTGTGGCTGTTGTTTTTATGATTATACCTAACCACACCACCGCCTCGCTCCCACCATTGCCAGTCTCTCGCTTCGCTGCCCTCCCCAAGCTCGTCCCTCAAGCTCCGGGAGCCGAAGAGTGTTCCCCAAGCTGCTCTGGCTGCTGCTCCTTGTCGCTGCATATGGCCCTTTGCCTGTGCTTTCCGCTTTGGCCCCCGAAATTCCGTTCCTTTCCTAGGGACCCCCTTCTTCTGACTCCGGGCCCGGACCCCCTCCTCTCATTCAGGGAAAATCGCGCAGGGACCCAGGACCCTCAGCTGGGGTACGCTCTCGGCTCGAGCGCTCTCTTCACTGTATGCGGGCCAAGCACAGTTGCCGATTTCGAGAAACCGAGAAGCTATCATTTCCCAGCCCTGCGTGCCCTCCAACCACCTCCAGGAGGGCGCGGGGCTTGTCATCCCGGGAGTCAGGACAGTGTTTTTGCCTCCTAAAATGATATAAAGGACTTCAACCCGAAATGAGGGTCAACTTATTTTAGTTCGATCCTCGGAGATAAAGATGAAACAGACAGATAATACATAAATAGCTTGATACTTGAAGAAGGTACAAAACAGATGAAAGAAAGAGGAGCGAGCTGGCAGAGACAGCTCAGGGACAGATAAGATCGACAAATGAGGGGCTCCTAGACAAATAGAGAAGAAGGGAGAGAGACAGATAAACAGAAGATTCCAGTCTCCTTGCTGAAGGCTTTTGAACTGGGATCCCCTGTCTGTCTGGAGTTGCCCCTCTGAAAATGGATTTACCTTCAGGGCCGACTGCAGGGGAGGAGCCCTCAGGGTTGGGCTACCCTGGCCGCAGGCTGCAGGCGCTCTGATGGGAGCTTGGCTTGTCTGAGGACATGTGGCTGGGTCAGGCGACCTAGAGGGCCCCAAACATCAGTCCCCAAGTGTCCCCGCTGCTGAGGTCTGCCTGCACAGCTCCCTCCCTGCCTCAGCCAGAGAGCAAAGTGCAGGACCAGCAGCAACTTTTGTACCTGGAGCCTTGCAATGGCTATGAAGATGGCCGAGATTCCTTCCAGCCCATATGAACCAGGACAGCGAGGCATGAAGGATGCTCAGAGAGGTGATGCCCCTGAAAGAGGAAGCTCAGAGCCCCGGAGCCTGCAGTTGGCCCGAGTGGGAAAGGCATATATGAAGGAGGAAAGCTCAGGGAGTGGGCGACTGGAAGCTAAGAAGTGGATCCCAACAAAGTTCCTTGAGAACCTCTCTGTCCCACGCGTTGACCTCGGTGGAAGCTAAAAATGCAGAAAATGTGGTGAGAACTGCAGGATCCTGGTCTCACTAATAGCTGGAAAGAAAAAGGTTTATATATCCAGCCGAAATCTTTCTGCTCAACGAACGTGGGAGCCAGGCGTGAGAGGAGAAGCTCGGGTTTGTGGAAACTAGCAATGCTGTCCCGGAAGCCGGCTCGGCACCGAGCTGGGTGCGGTGGGGGCCGCGCTAGGTCCGGGCGCGCACGGAGCGCTTCGGAGAGGGTCGGGTTCAGCACCGCGAACAGCGGTAGCCTCCGCCTCTCTCCTTCCCGGGCAGACCCGGTTCCCTCCTCCTTCTCCCCACCCCCCTCCACCCCCTGCTGTCTGGAGATGGGCAGTGACCGCCCCTCCCCCGCCTCCCCATCCCTCCTCTCACTGCCCCCGCCCGCCCGCGTGCATGCGCGACTGAGCAGAGGGGCGGCCGGTCCCCGAAGTCCGGGCTTCAGGACCCGGGCCGGCAGCACCGGCTGCGAGGGTTGCCGAAGGCGCACAGATTTGGGCGCTGAAAAAGCCTGGATTTGGCAATGGCTTTGCTGTGTGGCCTTGGGCAAGTCACTCTGCGTATCTGGGTTTCACTTCCTTCCCAATCCGAAAACGGGATTGGGTTCCTTGCAGACCGGGCATTCCTGAGGTCTCCATTACCCCTTCTCCTCCCCCAAACCCCGGGGGCTTTTGTTAACGGCACCAACATGGGTCTGAATAACAAAAGACGCCTGTCCAGGGGGTGAATGAGTTTGGACTCCCCACTGCCAAGTATCCCCCGCGCGCCCAACTCGGCGCGCCCCACTGGGCGGGCCCGAGACTCGGCGGCGGAGCTGAAAATGGCTTATCTGCTCTCTGCTTTCTCTATTTCGCAGGAGCGGCGGCATGGAAGCTCTTACCACTCAGCTGGGGCCGGGGCGCGAGGGCAGTTCCTCGCCCAACTCCAAGCAGGAGCTGCAGCCGTACTCGGGCTCCAGCGCTCTCAAACCCAACCAGGTGGGCGAGACTTCGCTGTACGGGGTGCCCATTGTGTCGCTGGTCATCGACGGCCAGGAGCGCCTGTGCCTGGCGCAGATCTCCAACACCCTCCTCAAGAACTACAGCTACAATGAGATCCACAACCGCCGCGTGGCCCTGGGCATCACGTGCGTGCAGTGCACGCCGGTACAGCTGGAGATTCTGCGTCGGGCCGGGGCCATGCCCATCTCGTCGCGCCGCTGCGGCATGATCACCAAGCGAGAGGCCGAACGCCTGTGCAAGTCGTTCCTGGGCGAGCACAAACCACCCAAGCTGCCCGAGAACTTCGCCTTCGATGTGGTGCACGAGTGTGCGTGGGGCTCGCGTGGTAGTTTCATCCCTGCGCGTTACAACAGCTCTCGTGCCAAGTGCATCAAGTGCGGCTACTGCAGCATGTACTTCTCGCCCAACAAGTTCATCTTCCACTCGCACCGCACACCCGACGCCAAGTACACACAGCCCGATGCCGCCAACTTCAACTCCTGGCGTCGTCACCTCAAACTCAGTGATAAGTCGGCCACAGACGAACTGAGCCATGCTTGGGAGGACGTCAAGGCCATGTTTAATGGCGGCACGCGCAAGCGGACCTTCTCCCTACAAGGAGGCGGCGGAGGCGGTGCTAATGGCGGGTCGGGTGGGCAGGGGAAGGGTGGTGCTGGCGGCGGTGGAGGCGGCGGCCCAGGGTGCAGTGCGGAGATGGCCCCAGGCCCGCCGCCCCACAAAAGCCTGCGATGTGGTGAAGATGAGGCAGCTGGGCCTCCGGGGCCACCTCCACCCCACCCGCAGCGCGGACTTGGCCTGGCGACGGGAGCTAGTGGCCCGGCGGGCCCAGGAGGGCCTGGTGGCGGCGCAGGCGTACGAAGCTACCCGGTGATCCCGGTGCCCAGCAAAGGCTTTGGGCTCCTGCAAAAGCTGCCCCCACCACTTTTCCCCCATCCTTACGGCTTCCCTACGGCCTTCGGCCTATGCCCTAAAAAGGACGACCCGGTATTAGGCGCGGGCGAGCCAAAGGGCGGTCCTGGCGCTGGGAGCGGCGGCGGCGGCGCGGGGACTGGCGGGGGTGCGGGGGGCCCGGGAGCCAGCCACTTGCCCCCGGGGGCAGGAGCGGGCCCGGGCGGTGGCGCCATGTTCTGGGGGCATCAACCCTCCGGGGCAGCCAAGGACGCAGCGGCAGTGGCTGCAGCGGCCGCCGCCGCCACTGTGTACCCGACGTTTCCCATGTTCTGGCCAGCAGCAGGTAGCCTCCCGGTACCGTCCTACCCCGCTGCTCAGAGCCAAGCCAAGGCCGTGGCGGCAGCCGTGGCGGCGGCAGCGGCGGCGGCGGCGGCAGCTGCTGGCAGCGGTGGCCCAGAGTCCCTGGACGGTGCCGAGCCAGCCAAAGAGGGCGGCCTCGGCGCGGAGGAGCGCTGCCCGAGCGCTCTGTCCCGCGGGCCCCTGGACGAAGACGGCGCGGACGAGGCGCTGCCACCGCCCCTGGCCCCACTGCCCCCGCCGCCCCCGCCGCCCGCACGCAAAGGCTCCTATGTGTCGGCCTTCCGGCCGGTGGTCAAAGACACTGAGAGCATCGCTAAGCTCTACGGGAGCGCCCGGGAGGCGTACGGCGCGGGGCCTGCTCGCGGGCCGGGACCTGGCGCTGGGAGCGGCGGCTACGTGAGCCCGGACTTTCTGAGCGAGGGCAGCTCCAGCTACCATTCCGCTTCGCCCGACGTGGACACCGCGGACGAACCCGAGGTGGACGTGGAATCCAACCGCTTCCCCGACGACGAGGGCGCACAGGACGAGACCGAGCCCTGCGCACCCAGCGCAGGGGGTGGCCCAGACGGTGAACAGCCCACTGGACCCCCTTCCGCCACCTCCTCTGGAGCGGACGGTCCCGCAGACTCTCCCGACGGCGGCAGCCCCCGCCACCGGCGCCGCCTCGGGCCACCCCCAGCTGGCCGGCCCTCATTTGGGGACTTGGCGGCCGACGACGTGGTGCGGAGACCTGAGAGGAGCCCGCCAAGCGGCGGCGGCTACGAGCTGCGAGAGCCTTGCGGGACCCTAGGAGGCCCCGCGCCGGCCAAGGTGAGCCCCGCGCCCGCCCCGCAGGTGGCGCCTTCCCACTTACCCTGTGCCTGGCGGGGCTGCGGGGCCGGGCGGAGGACGGGAATTTTGTTCCGCGCAGGCGTGGGAGCAGCAGGCCCAGGCCACTCTCTGCAGGCCCAGCCTCTGGCGCGCTGCGAAACTGGGCCCACCCGCACCCTCCAGTGAGGGTTTCGAAGGGAAGGGAAGTTGGGGGCGGGGGAAGGACTGGGGAACGTGTGTGCTTTGTTTTTGTTGATGGGAATGGGGAGGAGACCGGCAGAGACTGCCAGATACAGAGACAGAAAAGGGGTGTGGAGGAAGAAAGACGAGGTAAGAAAGGAACTCAGAGCCAGAGAAAAGCGCTCGCCCGGGTGGGCATCAGAGCCCCAAGGAAGAGGAGAAGAGAGGACAGTGTGGCCTTGCCCTGAGTCCGGCCCCAGCAGTACCGGGTCCCTGGAATCTCCCACCACCCCAACTCGCAGTTTTCCGAGTCTCTTCGCACTCCCGCCTTGGGAACCACAGGGTTCGTTGCTGGGAAGCTGTCTCCGGACCGCGTGCGGGGCGGGAGGGGGGCTCTCAAGTTGGCAGGGCCGGGGCTTGAGGGGCAGGATGCAGCCAGGCTGGAGTCGTTGGCCATTTTGAAAGTGAGTGCGCATACCTGTACATTCGGTTCATTAAAACACGAATCATTAACCGGATGCGAAAGGCGTCATTTGTGCCGGGGACGGGGTACCGGCGGGAGAGAAAGTGCCTAAAAGAAGCCGGGTGCAGAGGGTGGAGGACTCTTTGAACGGCCCTTGGCTTGGAAGCCGCTTTGTGTTTAGAGTAATTTTCCCGCGGGGGCTAATAATTATCCTGAATCCACAAGGGCGCAAGGGTGCGCCGCGTGCGTCGCTGTGCCGGCTCAAGTCCTGCGGACGCACCAACCTCTGCCACCCCCTCGGCTTTCCCTCTTGGCCGCGGGGTAGGGCTGGGCGTCTTCGGGCCGCCGCAGGGCGCTCCCCTAATCGCCTGTCATTTCTCGGCCGCCGCAGGTGTACGCGCCCGAGAGAGATGAGCACATGAAGAGCGCGGCGGTGGCGCTGGGGCCCGCGGCCTCCTACCTCTGCACCCCCGAGGCCCACGGTAACGCCTGTCGCGGCCGCTGGCCACTGTAATGGGGGGACCGCAGACAGAGGGCCGGGGTCAAGGAAAGCCTGTTAAGAAAGACAAGGAGAGAGACGCAGAGAAAGAGGGAGAGGGAAAGAAAAATAATGAAAACAAGGAAGCTAAGCTAATACTCCCAACAACTTTCAACCTTTGGTTACTTAAAAACAACAATGACAACACGCCCTCTGCACCACGCGCACACACATGCTGCAGTACACCCAGACACGGAGTTAAACCCTTAACAAAATCACGCCCGACACCCCTGCAAGGCCTCTCATTTATTCAGCAAGTGTGTTTAGCCGCGGGGTCCCCTTTGGCTAGGCCGGATCCGGGCGGAGGATGGGGGCACATGGCCGCGCGCTTGGGTACCCCAGAAGTGCCAGGGTAGCTGAGGCCCAACGCTGGGTGGTGGGGGCCGCCCTGCACTTGCGCGCCTTACCAGGTTCCTCGCAGAGAGGGGGTTGGGGGCCGCGGAAATTCGGGCAGGTCGAGGCAGCCGAACCCCGGACGATGTCCCCCTACCCACCCCGAAGGTCGCAGCCTGGGTCGCGTTCTCGGCAAGAGTCGCGCGGACAGACCGGGCGGCCGCGCGCGCTCGCGGTGCCCCAGTATCTGCGCGCGATGTAGGTCGCTGGTCCCTGGTGGGCTCGGCTGCTCATCTTGCTCTTTTCCAAGGGGCTGGGGCGGGGGCGTGAAGCCCGGAGATGAGCAGACCACGCGCGGGGGTCGGGGTGGGGGTGCCCGGCCCAAAGCCTCAGGGCGCGCGCCTGGGCGCACAGCCGGGAACCAGAGGCGGCCACGACGCTTTTAATTAGGGCTCGGGTGCCCCGACCGCGGCAGCTCCGGCAGTATCGGGGTCACGGTTTCTTTGCCTCTCCTTGAAACTCGGTTTATTGCCTTCAAGAGCCAGATAAAGAAGACAATCACTCGCCCGCCGATGATTTGGAAACGAGGAAATCCTATCCAGACCAAAGGAGTATCTCCCAGCCAAGTCCTGCAAATACAGACAGAGGTGAGCCAACCCTTGAACCTATCGCTCCCCACCTCACCCGGGAGCTGGGACCCAGGTCGCCCACGTTCCCAGAGGCTTGCGAGAAAGGCTTTTAATCAAGTGTAAGTGGCTGCCAGTTTTCTTCCTCGGCGAGCAGATAAATATTTAATGCGAGCAGGGTGCAGGCCAGTTTTTCTGCCTCCTTGATGGATTTGAGGTTTTTTCAGGTAAGGGCAGAGGACGTACTGAAAGGAAATGGAGGGACGTCCTCACCCACATAAAATAGGTCAAAGGGCACTTCCTGCCCTTAGATGGCCCATCTTCCCTGGGCCGTCTCCTCCAGGGGTCACTCTTCTACTCCCTACCATGATGTCTTAGAAGGTGGGTAGTACCGGATGCCTGTAACTGTCTCCTCTAAAGGCACAGGGTCTAGGGTAGGTCCCTGACTCGATGTGGTTCCTGAGAAGCCCACCCCTCCCCTCCCAAGGGCTCTCCCAGGACAGAACCCCTCTTATCTGCCCTTGTATCCCAGGCGAAGATGGGCTTACCTTGGATGTCACAGGAACTCAGCTGGTGGAGAAAGATATCGAGAACCTGGCCAGAGGTGAGGCTAAATTTGTGAAAACGGTGTACACTGTGCCTGAGGGTGATGGATCATTCCTGTAGAGGGGTGTTATCCGCGTAGGGGGTGAGTGTGGAAAGACATGGCCTTGGGGGGATCAGTTTTCCTTTCTTTGGGTGGAAAGTATGATCCTCTGGACACATTACCCTGGCACAGAGGTATGTATGTGTGGATGGAGCATGGGAGTAAAACAAACCCCCAGAAGTTTATTGGAAGTTTGGTTCCCAAGGCCCAGGTCTGTCTGAATAGCCTTGCAAGAAAGAGAAATGAATAACGATGATGGGAACTTTTGATGCCTGTGGACAATCAGACAGGACAGTCTGGGTCCTCTAAACTCAATGGAAAACAGGACTTCAATGCAAGATTGCAGGGAAGCATTTATTTTAGGAATGTGAGAGGTGTTTTTCTTTCTCCTGGAATTGACGTATAACCACCTCCACCTTACCCTAAATGGAGTGAGGATGGAGCTTGTTTGCAGAATGGGGATCCCTGGGGGTTACTGCTCAGCCTGTAAGGAGGAGACTATGGTTTGAGGTGCAGAGTAGGGGAGTCTCTAGCCCCACTTTGCCCTTCTACCTTTCATTCTTGCATTTCAAAGGAGCCTCTTCTGGTGGAGGGCCCAGATACTCATGACCTCATGGTCAGGGCAGGTGCCACATCTATCCCTCTGGAGTTGGTTCTGAGGGTACTCACAGAGGCCTCTACACCTAGCTCCCTGTCCCTCAACTAGCCCATAGATGGTCTTCGGAATTGGTGGCAGGAGGAAGACAAGCATTGGTGGTCTTCCATTCTTCCTAGTTACAGAATTACAGGAAATGCCATTACCTTCAAAATCATTGGTGCTTTATAGTGAGGGTTCTTAGCATGGATTTGGCAGTCTTCAGACCTCCTGAAATTGTAGGCAAACTGTTGTATGTGTATTTTTCTGGGAAAGGTGTCCAAGGCTCTGACCAAAGCCTCCCTGATTTATATGGAAAGGGTGGGGGTGGGGGAGGGTCTGTCACTTGAAGTGGGAAATCAAGTTTCTGTGGGCCAGCTTCTTAGATTAGGGAGTTAGGAACAAGTTAAAGCAGTTGCCCAGCTGCATAGTTCCTGGAGCCAGGGCTTAGATTCCACCATCCTGAATTTATTCTCCTGGGCATCCTATCCCACAGCCCAGTTTCTTCACCCAAATCCTTTGAATGCAGTTGGTAAAGCCAGAGAGTGGAGGGCCTCCACCTACTGGTCATCCTCCTCAACTCTCCTCTCAGGGTTGTTGGCCAAGGCAGAACCTGGGTGCTTTCTAGGTCCCCTGAGCTCCAAATCACCCTGCTTTACCTCCCGCTTTACCTCCCACTTTTCCCCTTTCCCAGACGAATTGCAAAAACTGCTCCTGGAACAAATGGAGCTCCGCAAGAAGCTGGAACGGGAATTTCAGAGTCTCAAAGGTACCCAGTGCCATCCTGCCTCATCCCACCTCATCACCGAGCCTTCCACCAGGGTGCCCCGACCTACTCCGAAAGCCAGGTGCCAGGCAACTGGCACTAGGCGCCCTGCAGGAGCCAAGAAACTGTCCTTTTCCAGGGTTGTCCGCGAATGGCTGGGTGGGAGTGGGGGTAGGGGTGAAAGCGGGGGGAGGGGGGCAGGGAGTGAGGAAGTGGAGCTGGGGGAGGGGGCTGTGCGTAACAGCTCTCACTTAATCAATTTGCACAGATAATTTTCAGGATCAAATGAAGAGGGAATTGGCTTATCGAGAAGAAATGGTGCAACAGCTGCAAATTGTCAGAGGTAAGACGGGAGTCAGGTGAGCGCGTGCACGGGCCGTAACTGCCTCTCGTCTGGCAGGAGCCGCAATGTTGGCTCAGTCATTTGGATTTAAATTGAAGGTAATTTAACAATTATTTTTTTTTATTTAATATCCTTTGTATACTCTGATTAGCCTCAGAATGGCAAGCGAGCCCAGCAAACGGCTTGCAGGCATCATTACATGGAGTGATTGAACTTCTTATCGCGGCAATTTCCATGGTTTCTAAATTAAAAATCGAGGCGTAAAATTACCTGGGAAGTAATGCCTAAGTTTGCTTTAATTTTGGTTAGATCCGTCTGCCTCTAAGCGCCATCCCAGGCCATTTCCTTCCTCCGCCAGTCTGCAGTTAGGAGCTCCGGTACCCCCTCCCCCGTCCCTGGAGTTGTGTCTGCGCGGAGCTGCGCCCTGGGGAGAGGAGGAAGCTCGGGCTGTGACCCCGGACTTTCGAAGGGTGGTCTGCGTTTCCTGACTGGCCCCTCCTCTTGTCTTCAGATACCCTGTGTAACGAACTCGACCAGGAGCGGAAGGCGCGCTACGCCATCCAGCAGAAATTGAAAGGTGCGGAAGCCAGGAAACAAAAAATAGGAGGGGTGCTGGGTGCCGGCCGTGCTGTCGAGTGAATGAATGAATAGTGGGACTAGTGAGGAAGGCCACGATCCACATGGATCAGAATCTGAGAGGGAGAAAAGTGGAAACTGATTTTAACGGGAAGATTATTCTACGATGGTGGGGTAAAGAAAGCCACTTGGGCTTTGGGCGCCAGAAAATCTGCCTTCTAGTACCAATTCTGGCTTTGAGCAGGCTGACCCCTCTCTTACTGTGCCTCAGTTTCCTCTTCTGTAAAATGGGGCTACTGAACCAGAGCAGTGGTTCTAAATCACCAGCCTTTGTCCTACCTTCCTGCCTTCTCCTGATCCGCTGCGTTGAGATTCCCTGACCCCAAAGGGTTGGGTAAGGTCGGGGAGGGTAAAGGGTGGACTGCGCGGTGAGGTCAGCCAGGAGAGGAGCCCAGAGTGACCCTCGCGACTCTCTCCCCAGAAGCCCACGACGCCCTGCACCACTTCTCCTGCAAGATGCTGACGCCCCGCCACTGCACTGGCAACTGCTCCTTCAAGCCCCCGCTGTTGCCCTAGGGCCGGCCTGGCCGCACCCCTGCGCCCTCAAGCCATGCTGCTCCTTGTAAATACCCGCTGCCGCGGCGGCCCTGAGCGAGGAACAAGCCATTTGGACCCGACCGATGTAAATACAGCCGCCCGTCCGCCCGCCTTCCTCCCGGGCTCCCCGACCTTGCCCGCCCCCTCCCGGGCGTCCCAGTCCAGGGCGCCGGCTTGGTTTCCAAGTGTAAATACCGCCTCGCACCTCAAATCCCCCTACCCCGTTTGAACTCTAGGGCATCGGACCTCAAGGGGTTAAAACTGGACAGACGGGGGCGGGAGGGGAGAGAGCCCCCTCCCTTTCTATAGCCTTGAACCGGATTGTGAATACAATGTAGCAACTTCGCTGGCGCCTGCCCCGCACTCCCCGTCCCGTCCACTTCTGAAACTCCTGTTCCTAATGACAAAGTGGCTATGTGCAATGGATATAAATGTACTGTGAGTCTCTCGGTTCAGTATTAGGTTCACTTTAATTTATTTATGCTGTAAGTTATTTTTGCTTCCTTCTCCTGGACCCACTTCCAGTCCCATTTTGCATTCCCCTTTGGATTTTGCTTTGTCTATTTTTTTGTTGTAACCTCTTGATGTAACAGCACTTTAAAAGGGCGACAACTGACTCACGAGATGGCAACCACCTGGAGCCTGTTTGGGGAGACCACCCTATACCCTTGACTTTCGTTTTTAATAATTATAATTAAAAAAAGATGTCACTTCTGGGGCTACGGAGATGGGAGTGCATCGGCGGAGAGGGGCGGGCGGAGCACTGTGCAACAGGTGGGGGTGGGAGCAGCCTCGCGGGTTCTGGGGCGCCCGGGGTCAGAATCGGGCCTGCTCAGGTGGGCAGCAGCGAGCACTCAACCTCTCCACTGTCCCCTCCAGACACACTCAATTTTCCCCCACAGAGCACTCCCTCGCCGCGTTTAGGACCCTCCCTTGGGCCCGTGATGGAGGAGGGGCATTATGTCATGGTCCTTAGAGCAGAGGTCCCCGGCCCTTTCTTCAAGCGCTCGAAGGCGCCGAAGGTTCATCCATGCCCATTTCCACGCCTGCCACATCGGGGAAGTTACTTCCGGGGCGCTCACAGACAGGGCTCCCTGCCGGGAATCCTAGGTTCAACCAGAATTGTCCCTTTAAATGGCGCGGGCACCGCCGGCCTGGCCTGGGGGCGCTGGGGCGGGGTGGAGGTCGCAGCGCGTAAGGTGGGTCTACGCCCGGCAGGCCTGGAAAGGAAGGCGGGACTTGGAGAGCTCGGTCACAGGCGGCCTCCCGTCTGCCCTGCCGCTACCCGAAAGGAGGGACCCCGGTCCGCATTTTCTGTTGGGTCCATTTTAGTCCGAGAAGGGCTAAGGACTTGCCAGGCCTCTGCTGGGGCGTCCGACATCCGGGTCGCGGTTGGCAAGGCCTCCCAGCGGCCTCAGTTTCCACAGCGCACCTCCCGCTTGGGCTAGAGACGATGTTGCAAACTGCAGAACACTCTTTTTGCGGGGAGGAGAGTGTGGATGGAGTGGGAGAGAGCGCACGGCACTGGGAATCATTCAGCCTTGGCTTCCATTTCTCGCCCTCGGCTGGCTAGTGGGGGTCCCGGGTTGCGCCTTTCTTTTATCTTTCCTGGGTCTCTGTTTCGGCCTCTGTGAAATAACACGCAGGCCTCCGTCCATGCGGCTCGTAGAAAGCGGACGGCAGGCCCAGTGCCACCGGCCAGCGGCTCGGGACCGGAAGCCCTGGGCTGCAGGGACCGGGAAGTTTCGCGGCGGGTTGTCTTGGTGGGCTTCGGACGGAGCCGGCGAGTAGGAGCGCGCTCTGGGCCTCCCCGAAGCTGCGCAGACGGGGAGTCCAGCTGCGCGGTACAGCCGGGAAGCCAATCCCTAGAGTCCTTTGCGCTGGGGGTCGGAGGCTTGGCGTCCCAGGATGTTCCAACGGCTAAGCCCAGAGTGCACACGAAGGAGGTAACAATGTTGAGGGCGCCCCGCACACCGCGAGGCAACGCCTCCGGACATACCATCCCTGGGCAGGGTCCCTCTAGGGAGCGGGAACGTTTCATATGCATGGGACCCACCAGATCCGTTCTCCGCTGGACCCATGGCGAAACTGAGGTCCAGAGAGGAAGAGACTGGAGACCCCAGGGCGCGCCAGGGCCCGTGGAACTGCTACAGGGCGGGACAGCGCTGGTGTGGGAGTTTGCCGGCGCCTTTCCCCACCGCGGATTGCACCTTTGGAAGCCGCACTTTTCTTCCCTGTAAAATGGGCACAACCATTACCACCCAGGCAGGAAGTTCCGTGGCTGCGGCCCGACAGAGGAGCCTGGCAAATGCTCCTTCCCAACCTTCCTTCCCAATTCCCCCCAAAGTGGAAAAACTCCTAGGCGGCTGGGGCCTTCCGGAAGGGACGCCCCATTTGGGCCGGAATCTCTGCGGACTGGAGTCGTAGGCGGATCCGACCTAGAAAGCTCAGTCGCAAAAACCCTCCTGGGCTTCGCGTCCCTTTAGAAGTGGTTTGTTCCCCCCAAAATGTTAATAACCAAACGATTGGTATGGATGTAATTATCAATAATTATACGAATTATTGCTGATTGCGGGGCTCGTAGCTACTTTAATTAGTTTACCAGATTCTAATTAAGTTAAATGAAACATTAATAGGGAAAATATGCTTTAAAAAAAAAAACCGGGATTTAAAAAAAGTCTATTTCTCGCCACAATGTTGCCACCTTGCGACAGATTTTAGGCATTACAGCCAACGCCCGAATGCCCAGACTAGGGTGCCTGGGCTCCCAGGGAGAACAAGTGGGGCCTGGAAGTTGGGAGGAGGCAGTTGAGCACAGAATGTCCTCCGGGCTGTTCTCCTGGGGTGTTTGGTTTGGCCTGGTCCCCAGCGGTGCCTACAGGAGGTCTGGCTGTGGAGTCCTAGGTCTGGGATAAGGGACCAGAGCGCACGGAAGCCGGGAGCCCTCTTATTCAGAGGAAACCGGGACCCCTCCTGGGCGCCGCAGTGGGACAGATTATCTCTATCCCCACCTGTCCTGGCAAATCCAGAGTGAGAGACTGAGTAAAGCTGGAGCCACCGTTGGAGACAGCATCAAGTGGTTTTATTTTTCACCCCCATGGGAGAAAGTAATAAGTTCCTTCCCATCTCCATTTCCTCTGCAAATCAGGGTAACCTGTGTGCTAAAGCACCACTTATTAGACCCCTCAGCTCCTGGAACACAGGTGACTCCGTGTTCTAGTGGCACTCTGTTCATGAGGCTAGCAGGGCACTCACCTCCCTTTGTTATTCTTGGTTGTTTAAGTGTCTGTTCCCCTAAGAAAGTAAGTTGACAGCAGGGGTCACACCTTGCTCTTCCTTGCAATCTACAACGCAGGGCCCAGGACTCCACAGGCACACAACACATGTCTAGATGAATGGCTTCTAACTTTGTGGTTCATCTAGGTGCTTAAAATGTCTAAGGGAAGGAATCCCTAGGTGCTTCTGGACAATAGCCACTGAGAACCAATTAAGCTCATTTGCATAAGTTTAATTAAACAGGTTTACTGCTCAGAAAGAAGATCCATCAATAGGATTAGTTTTGGGAGCAGGTGTCAGGTAAGTGATTGTCAACCTAGAAAAGGAAAACTTTGTTTCTATTCCAACTATGTCCTAAAGAGGGTACTCCTTCACTCCGTCATATTTTTCCAGGTCACTGGCACACAGGTCCACCCATTCCTAGCTACCCTGCTCTAAAGTCTTGATCCATTGCAAACATGTGACTCCTGCCTTGCATTCAGAATACCAACAAAAGCAGAACTGGATCTGCGTGCTCTTCCCATGAATTCTAAACAGCCTCATCTCCTCTCTTCATCCTCAGATGTTTGGCTAAGAGTACAAACTCTGGAGCCAGATTTACTGAGGGCTCAATGCTGCCCTGCCATTGATGAATGACACTGGGCAAGTTGTTGAATCTCTCTGTGCCTCAGCTTCCTCATCTATAACATAGGGAGATGAACAGTACCTACTTCATAGAACTGTTTTCTGTTAATATGTGTAAAGCACTGAGAACAGCTCCTGGCATACAAGAAGTGCTATTGTATAGGTGTTTGCGAAGATTGCAATTCCCTCTGAGTTCACTTTCCTGAGACTCAAGCCACGAGTGCTTTTAAGGAGTCCCAGAATGGACCCCAGGCTGTTACCTTCCTCTCCTCCAGGGGCCCAGAAAGGAGGACAAACCAGTGCTTTTTCAACCCTGGACTATTGAGCTTTCTGGAGACACGTTCATAAGAATCTGCAAGCACGCAAGTTGGAAAGGCATGCTGCAATGCCAATGCATTGACTCTATGTGTCCAAAGAGGCTAAGACTTGCCCAAGTTTCCTCAGCAGGTGAGTGTAGGGTGAGTGCAGAGGAAAGAAAGTCAGCCAGGTCTCTGGATTTTCTGGGACTAGGAACTGCCTGTGTCTTTCAGAATTTCTGTTATGAGACAAGTTTCTTTTCTTTCTTTCTTTCTTTTTTTCCCAGGAGAGACGGGGCTTCACCTTGTTGGTCAGGCTGGTCTCGAACCCCTGACCTCGGGATCCTTTCACCTCAGCCTCCCAAAGT